GTTTCATTCGCGAAGGCACTAGGCTCTGAACCTCACTATTATTCACCACGTCGATGTTAGCTTCTTTTGACTTCACAATCTTGCTGTTTTTTAGTGGTGCATCATGGATAGTACCAATTCGAGAAAATACTGACTTTCGAGATTGAGGTTGTGCAGATTTTCTTCCTTGGTCATGAAAGCTCATTCTGTTAAAAACAGAGTTACGAGGCAAATTGCTGATATGAGAACTTGAAACATTTGATTCTCGGCTTGACAACCTGTTGAATACAGATGTTCGATCGCATGGAGCTCTTATACGGTCAAAGACTGATTTTTGATGCCCAGTCTGCTGATCTTGTTCATCCTTAACTTCTTCAAACCCAATGTATAAAGTGCTTAACTTCTTATCCCTCTTTGTGATTTGAATTCGAAGTGGCTCAGAAGCTACGAAACCGAGACCAGACTTAGGTGAAATGATTTTATGCCCTTGATCTTTCAACTTCTTCTGTGTCTCATTGAGGCCGTGCACCTTCTCACCGGTGACCTCAGCATTCAGTTTTCCAAGGCTTGCAGGATTTGTAAAATCATACCCCGACTTAGCCAAGAGTTGGTATGCTTTAGGATCGAATCCTTCGTCGGTCCTTTGTTTTAGAAGTGATAAATGATCAACAATAGATTGAGAAGGCCGCACGAACCCTTTTAACGGAGACTTGGAAGGCGAAGACTTCTGAATCTTAGGGAGAGGAAGAGTTAACTCTCCTTTAAGCTTTTGCATATCTTCTTTTTCCTTGGTTTGTGACATCTTTAATTTAAATTCCTTAGTTTCAATTATCTCAATAATAGGTGCCTGCCCTTCTTGTCGCTGAGATTTTGGAACATACTTTAAAATAGGTTTCGTCTGATGTGCTTTTATCGAGACCCCTCGCGTTTTAGCTACCTTTACAATGTCTGTCACTGAAACGTCTAGTGGATCACTTAATGCTTCTTTTGCTTTTGTAGATTGAATCTCTTGTGTAAACGGAAGGCTTGGGATGGGCACTTCCGAAGGTGTATCATGATCGATATAGAACTTGGCATTGGCAAAATGGGATTCTGCCTCTGTAAATGGCTTATGGTCCTCTACAACCGTTTGTACGCCATTTTTGTAGAATTTGAAGCACTGATGAAGAGTTGATGGAATGACGCCATTACTATGTATCCAAGGCCTTCCCAACAACAAATTGTAGAACGCCTTTGCATCAATCACATGGAATAAGGTTTCTGCTTGGAGCTTGCCAATAGTTAGCTTTGCCCGAATCATGCCGATAGCTCTCTGTCCTCCTTGGTTAAAACCTTGAATAATAAGACGGCTACGCGATAACTCGTCAATTGTGATACCAAGATTTTTCATCGTAAATTTTGGCATTAGATTCACCGCCGAGCCACCATCAACAAGAATACGAGTAACTCTTCGTTCTTTTATGTAACCGGAGACGAAGAAAGGACAATTGTGCGGCTTCGAACCCAACTGAAGATCCTAGTCCGTGAAAACAATTGGTGCATAACATGACTCAAGCATACCTCTGACCACTTCATCATCATCAGATTTTTCAATGATGGCTGTATTATGGTTCTCTACAGTCTGGACTTCATCTTGATCCTCGTTCTTCTCATCATTAAGGCTTGTTTTCTTAGTTGAAACCATGTAAGTTGTTACAACTTCGTCATTTAGGTATCCTTTTGGAAAGAACTCTTGCAAAGTAATAGGCTTCTGACTCTTTTTGCTTATAGAGGTGTGTTTAGTTGACTGTGTTTTCTTGACCCATTTTCTGTTATGGCCAGACTGTTTATGGTGATATTGGGGTTTCTTCTTTCTTTGCCCTCTGTCAGAATAATTAGTCTAAAAAATATCAGCTCGTTGCTTCTGTGGTTTCTTTCTTGTCACCAGAGTCCATCCTTCTTCATCATCCTGGGGAAAAACCCTTCCAAATGTTAAAATGTCACGTACACTCCCTTGGCCAATATAGATTGGGATTGGTTCCAATGAACCAAACTGGATAGTAGTGCAAGATACCTCCGAAGTTAAAGGTTGAGAACGAGCACTCCCCACGACAGAGGTTGTCAAAGTAGCAGTAGTATGATTTGAAGTTACAACTTTGTCTGTATCCAACAAGATTTTTCCTTGTTTTGCTAGATTCATCACCACCTCCTTGAAAATAAAACACTTCTCAATTGGATGACTGATAATGCGATGATATTTGCAGTATTTTGGATCGTTGATACGTCCCATCTCTGGAGGACGTTTGTATTCAGGGAGTTCTATAACTTTACTTTCAAGTAAACATTCCAAGATGCCAGGAACATCGGAATCGGGGAAGGGGTATTCTTTCTTCTCTAACTCCTTTAGCGTCCTACGCTGTCTTTCCCTCTCTTGAAACTGGCGAGGCTTTTTATCATCCTTCTTGTCATCTTTAACAGATATCTTGATTGGGGTGGTTGAGATAGCCATTGAATCTTTAGCCGCATTTTTTGATGACTTGTCGCCCTTCTTCCAGTCCTTCTTATCTTTGCGTGGTTCTATAGTCACGGGACTTTTGCCATCATGGGATTTCATACTGATCTCCATGTCATGGGCACGTGTAGCCAATTCCTCAAATGTGCGAGGTTTTATGCCTTGCAGAATGTAGAACAGGCCCCAATGCATTCCTTGCATACACATCTCCACAGCAGATACTTCTGACAATCAGTCCTTGCAGTCAAGACTGAGGGCTCTCCACCGATTAATGTAGTCGATTACAGGCTCATCCTTCCATTGCTTTGTGTTAGTCAACTCTATCATACTAACAGTACGACGAGTGCTATAGAACCTGTTCAAGAATTCTCGTTCCATCTGGTCCCAACTATCAATTGATTCTGACTTTAGGTCAGTGTACCACTCGAACGCGTTTCCTTTAAGGGACCGGACAAACTGTTTGACTAGTAAGTCCCCCTCTGTTTCGGCATTGTTACAAGTTTCGATAAAATGGGCAATGTGTTGCTTGGGGTTACCTTTTCCGTCAAATTACTGAATCTTCGGAGGTTGGTATCCTACATTCATTCTCATACTGTCGATTCTCCTTGTATAGGGCTTTGAGTACATGAGAGTGCTCTGTGAGACACCACCATATTGAGCTCGGATTGTATTCATTATCATATCTTGCAATTGTTCGACAGATAATGAAGAGACTGAAGAAGAGGTATGATTGGTTTGACCAGTCGCCTGTTCTATCCTCGGCGTCTGGTTTTGACTAGTCGCTTATTCGGTCACCGGCGTCTGTTTGGGATTCTCCCTGTGAGTACCTTGTGCTGTAGAATTAGGATTCTCCGTTAGTATTGCTGTGGAAGATGTAGGTTTCCCAGACGGTGGTGGTGTGAAAGTTGCACGATTCCCGGATGGCATTGGTGTTTCACCGAAGGTCTGAACTTCCAATTTATTCATTAGTGTAGCGATTTGCAAGTCCTTTTCTTCAATAGTCTTTGTGAGGTTCTCAATGGAATGAGCTATAGTTGCTAGTTGTTCCTCCACTGTAGTAGCTCCAGTCATCATAGCAGCAACCACATCCGAGTATGATAGGCCTTGAGAATCCACGTTCCTTGAAGTGATTGATTGCTCCGAAGTCTGACGTGGTGACTCTGGGGGTGAACCGACATTAGAGTGAGCATCATAGATAGAACGAAGTGAATCTGGTGGTGGAGCCTCTTCTAGAACAATGTCAAGGTTTTTGACATGTTGAGTTTTCACGTTCGCCGGTGTTGCAGGATTAGTTTTCACCACATCTTACTGAAGTTTGAATGACGCCATCGCCTGGGACTTGCTACGTGTCACAGGGCCCGTCAAGGTACTTCTATCGCTTAATTTGGTCTTCGTGCCACTTTTCATGGTGGCTTTAGCGTCGACCTTTGCAATAACGATGTTCTTTTGGGCTTTCTTGTCTGTCTGAATCTTAGGGGGAGCCATAGAATCTGATAAAGAAGAAACTTGATGGTAGGAGAAAGAGATGAGAGGCAAAGGTTGTCCCACCGGGCGTGCCACAAATTTGTACACACAAATTTTGTAAGTCTACAATAGAAACAAAATATAGAGCAAAATAGAATTTTATTAATTTATGAATGTGGAGTACAGTCCTTTGTAATATCTTTTACAAAAAAAGAATGGTCCTCTGATTCAATCTCCTTGTTTTTGGTTGGTTGGATCCAAGGGCTGCACGAGCTTGTTCTTGAATCACTGTGGGATTTGATGAAGAACGGCACATTGTTGGATGTGCTTGATGTTCTTCGCTTTTGGGTTTCGATTCTGAATTTGTGTCTGAATTCTGAGTCTCTGGATTTCTGAGTCTCTGAACTTCTGAATTCTGAATTTGTGTCTGAATTTGTAGACTTCTGAATTCTGAATCCTCTCCCCTTTTTCTTCCTCCAGGCCTCTATTTATAGGCTTCTTGGATTAATAGGATGATGACACGTGTCATCTCCTGATAAGGATAAAACTATAACTAGGCCGGGCCGGTTATATTGTGATAATTATCCTTAAAGATAATTATTCAAAATATATTTTATTAGGAATAATTATCGTTTCATTTAATTATCTAGGCTGGGCTAATTAAATAATTTAAGTGGACCAAGCCTGGTAAATTAAATAATTTATTTAAACATTAGGCCTATATTTAATGGGTCCATTCGTTAAAACCAAAGCCCACTAAATTTTAGTGTCTACACTCCGTTTTGGGCAATTGCCAAAATCTTGTATTATATACATAGATTTTTAGTCTTTTCTTTTTTTCCCCCTTTTTTTTTCCTTTCTAAAATTGAAAGAAATTTGTATTTTGAACTTTCAATATCAAGAATATAAATTCTTTGAAATATTGACATCATACTTGATTTATATATTGATATCTAGGCCCCGTTTGGGAGCTTCCTCAAGTCTTAAAAATTCCTTCCAAGTTTGAAATATTCATTTGGTAAAAATTGTGATGTTTGGTTGCATGAGGGACTTTCTAGAAAAGTCAATGAACAGAAAGTCCACCTCAAAGAGGTAAGAAATTTTGTTATTTTACTAATTTGCCCTTATATTTTTCTTAGATTTACAACATTTCTTATTTTATTTCTTAGTCAACCGTTCCACTACCGCCGCCTTCCATCACCATCACCACCACCACCACCATTGCCACCACCACGATCACCCTTCAATACCACCGCCAACCAACTACCACCACCTTCCACTATCACCCTTTACTACCTCCACCGCCACAATCACACTCCGCTACCATTGCCACCAACCACCACCACCACTACCATCTACCATGCACCACCATTGCCACCGCCACCTTCCGCCACCTTCACCATCACCCTCCACTACCACTGCCACGAATCACCACCATTGCCACCCTCTTCTACGGCCACCTTCTAAGCTTCCGCCACTACCACCACTGTTGCCTCCACTCTCAACTGCAACCTTCCAACACCATCTCTACCACCACCACCACCACCACCACCGACATCATCACATTCCACCACCACCACCACAATCACCATCACAATTAATATTGCCTTCTGCCACTACCAATACCAGCATTGTCATCGTCTTCCACCAATGTTGCCTTCACACTTTTTTTATTGGAAGGTTACAATAATTGTTAAGGATAAAAGATATGATTGTCAAGAAAAAAATAATCTAAAAGTTAGAGTGATTTTAAAAAATGTGCTTAACAAACCTCTTTTTCTGATGAATTTCTTCCATCAAAATTTCTTTCCGGAAGGCCTTAATCAATGAAGGACTTTTAATATGAGAAAGCTCCCCTAAATGGGCCCAAGATTAGCAAACTTGTCTTTGGTGTGTTTTTTTTTTTTTTTTTTTTTTTTTACCATATTTTCTCATTGATAGTTTTACAATTGATATTGAAATAATTTAAAATTAGGTGAGAGAAAATCACTGAATATAAATTTAAAATAATTTTTAACATTATTTTGTATAATGTGAACACAAAATGATAATTTTGACTCTAAAGTTTATTATTATTTTGTATAATGTGAACACAAAATGATAATTTTGACTCTAAAGTTTATTATTCAAACACTAATAAGTTTCATGTTATAATTATTTTATTTAATTCAACTTCTATCTAACCATTATCCTAATTGACAGGATGATCCAAGAGGTCTGGGTTTTTTCTTTAAAAATTGAGTTAAAACATTAGCAATTAAATGATTCTATATAAAGACTGATTAGTTAAATAAAAAATGAAGGACGTATATGTAAGATCAATAACACAAACATAGATTGTGAGATTCTTTTCTCCTCTGGTAAAATATCTTTTATATCTTTTAAAAATCAAACAATTTTTTTCCTTGTTGATACTCACACACCCAAATTAATCAATCTTTATTGACTTTTATCTGTCATTTTTTTTCCCATCATTTATCCATTATTCATTTTCTCCAAACGCTAAATAAAATGAAATTTTCATTTTTATTTTTCAAAAAATATAAATAAATAAATATTACACTTTCTAATGAACGAAAATATTTAAATATCTTAAAAGAAAGAAATAAATATTTTCAATAAAACAGATTACATTGCAAAACATTAATATAGCTTTTAGATTTAGAGAAATGATATTTGCGATCCTTCTTGTTTAAGTTTAACATGCTCTATTTAATCAAGAACGTAGCATTTCACTATGCTAGTATATTTAAACTAAGTAATATACTATGTAAACTTTATAATAAAATAAAAGATGTGTTAATGGACCGATACTAGTTTTTAGTACTCTATTCTTAAGACAAAATTCGACCTACAAGATGTTGAATGGTTTCTCTTGCATTTGTTTCTCATAATACAACGGTTTCCCTTCCATGCTTTTTTTTTTTTTTTTTTTTTTCTTTTTTTTAATTATTTCTATCTAACCAAACAGAGCCATACTTTTGATCATGAGCAAGAGATTGCTACAAATGGTGAACTCAATTCGATAATATTAAAATGATTGAATCACTATTTAAAAAAAAAAAAAAATCATCCACGCCGTGCTCAAGGGATAAAGTATATAAAAACCTAGTAATCCACTTTTATGTGATATCCTTCTTAATGGAGTCATTATACAGAAACGTAGAGTTTTGAAAAGAAAAAAGGAGATAAATAACCCGAAAGTATTGTATACCTCTCAGAATTGAAAATACCACGGATATATCTATATATGACCATGTGAACTTGTAGTCTTGGACTCTTTACACCATTTGTGTGTGCACGCATGTGTGAGCAAGAGATTGCTAGAAATGGTGAACTCAATTAGTTAGATAACATTAAAAATGATCTGAATCACTATTTAAAAATAAATAAATAAATAAATAATCATCAACACCCTGCTCAAGGGAGAAAGTATATAAAAACCTCACGGACGATATCCTCCCCAATAGAGTCATTATACAGAAACATAGAGTTTTCAAGAGGAATGAGGAAATACCAGGTGACAATTAACCCGAGAGTATTATATAACTCTCAGAATTGAAGATCAGATACCTCGGATATATATATAATATGACCATGTGAACTTGTAGTCTTAGACTCTTTACACCATTTGTGTGTGCATGCATGTGTGTGTGTGTGTGTGTGAGAGAGAGAGAGAGAGAGAGAGAGAGTGGGAGAGAGAACAATACTTCTGAGCAGAAGATGTGTTAATTTGATGGTGATCAATTTCAAAATAAATTACTAATTTTGGATCTTATCTTGCAAATTAATGATCTACTGACTCAATATTTCTTTCTTGTCAGAATCTTAGAATAATAATTATAATACTAATTTTGGATCTTATCTTGCAAATTAATGATCTACCTAATAAATGGATCTTCTTGTGTCAAGGAGGTCCACAACAAAATCCGACTACATAATATTGTTGGGAGAGATAACAATAAACAAATACTGCGGAATAACTTTTCTATTATTTTCAGCACATATAAAAGTAGAGATACACTATATTTGTTTGCATATAGGGAGAAGAGTTATTCTGCTGTATTTGTTTATTGTTATCTCTCCCAACAAGTGGTATCAGAGCTTGGTTATTATTATTACTGAATTTCTTATGTTAAATAATGGAAGCTAATTTAAGTAGAATGGTCACTTTGAATGGTTCAAATTACCACACTTGGAAAGAAAAAATGGAAGACCTTCTCTATGTGAAGCAATTTCATTTACTGGTGTTTGCTAGTGTGAAGCCTAATAATAAATCTGATGAAGAATGGACATTACTACATCGACAAGTGTGTGGATATATTAGACAGTGGGTTGATGATAATGTTTGGAACTATATTGTTGAAGAGACACATGTACGTACACTTTGGAATAAGCTTAAACTAGTATATGCCCAGAAGACTGGAAATAATAAAATGTTTTTGATAAAACACTTGATGAATTTGAGATACCCAGATGGGACTCCAATAATAGATCACTTGAACACTTTCCAAGGAATAATTAATCAGCTTGCTAGAATGGGGTATTAAGTTTGATGCTGAGGTATAGGGGTTATGTCTACTTGGTACATTGCTGGACTCATGGGAGACCTTCAGAATGTCATTGTCTAATTCAGTTCTGGATGGCTTAATCAATATGGATCTGGCTAAGAGCAGTGTTTTGAATGAAGATATGAGAATAAAATCGCAGGGATCCAGTTCACAGTCAGAGGTTTTGGTTACAGAAAATAAGGAGAGAAGTAAGAGCAGAGATCAGAAGAATAAAGATAAAGGCAGAAGCAAGTCCAACAAGTTTGCTAATATTGAGTGCTATCATTGTGGCATGAAGGGGCACATCAAGAAATATTACAAAAAGTTGAAGAGAGAGAACAAGGGGAAAGGGAATGAGAAAAAGAATGATGATGGCAAGGATGATGATCGAGTTGCCACCACTACTTCTGAAGACTTCCTCATTGTTTATGATGATGATGCTATTAATATTGCATGTCATGAGACTAGCTAGGTTATTGATAGTGGTGCCTCTAGTCATGCTACATCTTGAGAGAATGCCTTTACATCCTATACACCAGGTGACTTTGGGACAATAAAGATGGGAAATAATGGCTTGGCCAAAATCATTGGTATTGGAGATGTGTGCTTGGAAATAAATAATGACACAAGATTGGTCCTTAAAGATGTAAGGCATATTCCTGACATCTGCTTGAACTTGATTTCTGCAGGCAAACTTGATGATGAGAGTTATTGCAGTAACTTTAGTGATGGCTAGTGCAAGCTCACTAGGGGTTCTATGATAGTTGCTCGAGGCAAGAAGTTTTCTAATTTATACGTATTGCAGGCAAGAATCTCCAAAGGCATTATTAATGCAATGGAGGATGAGCATTCAGTTGAGTTGTGGCACAAAATGCTTGCTCACATGAGTGAGAAAGGCTTGATAATGTTGGCTAAAAAGAATCTTCTGTCAGGAATTAAGAGTGCATCTTTGAAAAAGTGTACTCATTGTTTGGCAGGGAAGCATAATAGAGTTTCCTTCAAGAGTTCCCCTCCTTTAAGAAAGCCAGGTATACTTAACTTGATACATTCAGATGTATGTGGCCCTATAAAGACGATGTCACTCGGTGGCTCTCGTTATTTTATGACCTTCATAGATGATCATTCAAGGAAATTGTGGGTGTATACCTTGAGAAGAAAAGATCAAGTGTTGGATGTGTTTAAACAGTTTCAAGCTTTAGTTGAGAGGCAGACTGGAAATAAACTGAAGTGCATCAGAATAAATAATGGGGGAGAGCACATAGGTCCTTTTGATGATTATTGTAAACAATAGGGCATTCGACATCAAAAGACGCCTCCTAAGACACCTCAGTTGAATAGTTTAGTTGAGATGATGAACAGGACGCTAGTTGAGAGAGTGAGATGCTTGCTTTCACAGGCACAATTGCCAAGATCCTTTTGGGGTGAAGCTTTGAGTGCAGTTGTACATGTTCTTAATATCACACTATGTACTTCTCTTCAGTTTGATGTACCTGACAGAGTTTAGACTGGCAAGGATGTTTCTTATGATCATTTGCGTGTCTTTGGGTGTAAGGCTTTTGTGCATATTCCAAAAAATGAGAGGTCTAAGCTTGATGTGAGGACTTAACAATGCATCTTTCTAGGCTATGGCCTGGATGAGTTTGGCTACAAGTTATATGATCTAGTTAACAAGAAACTAGTGAAAAGTAGAGATGTTGTGTTTATGGAAGATCAAATCATACAAGATATTGAGAAAATAGAGAAAGCAGTGCCTTAGTACGATGATGGTTTGATTGACTTGGATCTAATTTTTTTGACAGATGTTCCAGTACATGTTGAACGTGATGCTCAGGATGACCAGCAAAATCCAGATGACAATGATGCTCTTTTACAGATTGAGATTGATTAGTTGCCAGTACCAAAAACACCACCAGATAT